GGACTGTGTTTTGCCACAAGCCACATCGATGTGCTCAAAGTTGGCTTGGAAACCTACGGATTAATTTTTATACACTTGAAGCGCAAAGGTAGGGGTAAGGTTTGTGTATGACACACCCCCTCCGTAAACCACAAGTAATGGGATTACACTAAGTATGTTAATGCTTGGAGAAACACATTCGCATGACTTTGTTTGATAAAAGAGGTGTTGGGGCCAGCTTGCGGGCACCCCCCCAAATTAATTCCTCGGGATACTCGCCCCTTCCTAGCCACAACGAATACTTGGTAACTTTGTCAACCAAGGCTACAACAGAGGGGGAAAATCACTTAAATTTTTTTCCCTGTTGGGAATTGAACTTCACGCTGCTCAATCTATTTCATTGACCTCTAGTCCGCACCCACTCTCATGACTTAATCATAGTTAACCAATCCAAATTTTAAATGTTATCCATCGTAATAATAAACTCTTTATTTTCAATCACAGGCTACTGTCCAACAAAATTGGCCATGAGAATGTTATTATTCAGTACTTACAAACATAGTTATAATATTATTCTAATTAGTGATATTGTTAATGTTACTAAACTGGCGAATTCAATAACAAATAATAAGTCGCAAAATGAAAAAACGCAATCTGAAATGAATAGCCAAGAGTAAGAATAAACCTTGATGCACCAGGGACCGAGTTCAAGATCCTTGACATGGGCAACGTGGCGAAGAAGTTCCTGCAAATATCTACACTCCTTCTCTGAGCTATCTTCAACGCCAGAAAAATCAACAGTTAAAGAAAGGACTGCAGTGACAAGTGAAGTCACATTTCTCAGCTGAAAGTGCATCTCATTGCAACATGATCCCCAAAGTTCCAAATGTCGAATATATGGGGCATCAATTTCGATGGAATAGAATTCATCATAATGTTCGTTATCATATTTAAGTCTTTCGTATATCGTTACAATCAATTTCCTCAGCTTCACAGAGCTGATTTTCAGATGACGAATACCAAGAACTTTATCTAATTCCAAGCACTCCAAATTAGGGGAACCTGATAATATTTTCTCCATTACATCCTCTTTAATTTCAGCATCCCCAATTGAAAGAGAAACCAAATTACTCCACTTCACATTACCAAAAGGTTTCAACTCGCAATTCTGTAACACCAAATTCCTCAAAACCGTATTCGTATACGCGAATTCAGGAAAATCATACACAGCCTCTGGAAAGCCCGTGTCACAAAATCTCAACGTGAAATCTTCAACCTTAGCAATATAAGTAGCAAAGTACAACCAGAAATAAAGATCAGAATCCAAAATCGACCCATCGTATGTAGGAGGACAAACACTAAATGATTTAATTTTGTAGCAAGACCTCCAATAATGAATCTCTCTGTTAACAGTACATGCGAAACCAGGAAGATCTTCATCATCTGTTGAGTCGAAATTGAGTGATGCTGGAACGGATTTCCAGTGAGATCGCCATTGCGATGATAATACGCTGGTTTGAACAACTTGTTTACAGTTTGGTAGCATAGAAAGGATGTGAAGTTGAATCGGCTCCGACAGATCACTCAGACGGTCTCCTTCTCCGGCTGCCGCCATGATTTTCCGTTGCAGTTTCGGTTATGGCGATTTGATAACCGCAAAATTGAAATGAGCAATGACGATTTACACTATGCTATATTATTTACAACTAGAATTAGAATTTGTAGTCCTGATCTATACTTGCTTGTTAGATGGCCATTAGAGTTAACTAAAAGCGAAACTGATTTGCTGTCTAGAAGTTCTAGAAGGACGACGTGTATTCTGAAAATTAATTTATAATTAGTGTTAACAAGATGCAAAACTGATTTGCTGTCTAGAAATTCTAGAAGGACGACATATATTCTGAAAAATAATTTATAATTAGAGTTAACAAAATACAAAATTGATTTGCTGTCTAGAAATTCTAGAAGGACGACATGTATTATGAAAATTAATTTATAAATAGAGTTAACAAAATGCGAAACTGATTTGCTGCCTAGAAGTTCTAGAAGGACGACATGTATTCTGAAAATTAATTTATAATTAGAGTTAACAAAATGCGAAACTGATTTGCTGTCAAGAAGTTCTAAAATGACGACATGTATTCTGAAAATTAATTTATAATTAGAGTTAACAAAATGCAAAACGGATTTGTTGTTTAGATGTTCTAGAAGGACGACATGTATTCTGAAAATTAATTTATAATTAGAGTTAACAAAATGCAAAATGGATTTGCTGTTTAGATGTTCTAGAAGGACGACATGTATTCCGAAAATTAATTTATAATTAGAGTTAACAAAATGCAAAACTGATTTGCTGTCTAGAAGTTCTAGAAGGACGACATGTATTCTGAAAATTAATTTATAATTAGTGTTAACAAGATGCAAAACTGATTTGCTGTCTAGAAGTTCTAGAAGGACGACATATATTCTGAAAAATAATTTATAATTAGAGTTAACAAAATACAAAATTGATTTGCTGTCTAGAAATTCTAGAAGGACGACATGTATTATGAAAATTAATTTATAAATAGAGTTAACAAAATGCGAAACTGATTTGCTGCCTAGAAGTTCTAGAAGGACGACATGTATTCTGAAAATTAATTTATAATTAGAGTTAACAAAATGCGAAACTGATTTGCTGTCAAGAAGTTCTAAAATGACGACATGTATTCTGAAAATTAATTTATAATTAGAGTTAACAAAATGCAAAACGGATTTGTTGTTTAGATGTTCTAGAAGGACGACATGTATTCTGAAAATTAATTTATAATTAGAGTTAACAAAATGCAAAATGGATTTGCTGTTTAGATGTTCTACAAGGACAACATGTATTCTGAAAATTAATTTATAATTAGAGTCAAAACTGATTTGCTGTCTAGAAGTTCTAGAAGGACAACATGTATTCTAAAAATTAATTTATAATTAGAGTTAACAAAATGCGAAACTGATTTGCTGTCTAGAAGTTCTAGAATGACAACATGTATTCTAAAAATTAATTTATAATTAGAGTTAACAAAATGCAAAACTGATTTGCTGTCTAGAAGTTCTAGAAGGACGACATGTATTCTGAAAATTAATTTGTAATTAGAGTTAATAAAATGCAAAACTGATTTGCTGTTTAGATGTTCTAGAAGGACGACATGTATTCCGAAAATTAATTTATAATTAGAGTTAACAAAATGCAAAACTGATTTGCTGTCTAGAAGTTCTAGAAGGACGACATGTATTCTAAAAATTAATTTATAATTAGAGTTAAGAAAGTGCGAAACTGATTTGCTGTCTAGAAGTTCTAGAATGACGACATGTATTCTGAAAATTAATTTATAATTAGAGTTAACAAAATGCAAAACGGATTTGTTGTTTAGATGTTCTAGAAGGACGACATGTATTCCGAAAATTAATTTATAATTAGAGTTAACAAAATGCAAAACTGATTTGTTGTTTAGATGTTCTAGAAGGACGACATGTATTCTAAAAATTAATTTATAATTAGAGTTAACAAAATGCGAAACTGATTTGCTGTCTAGAAGTTCTAGAATGACGACAGGTATTCTGAAAATTAATTTATAATTAGAGTTAACAAAATGCAAAACTGATTTGCCGTCTAGAAGTTCTAGAAGGACGACATGTATTCTAAAAATTAATTTATAATTAGAGTTAACAAAATGCAAAACTGATTTGTTGTTTAGATGTTCTAGAAGGACGACATGTATTCTGAAAATTAATTTATAAGCATCTTGAAGTGTATATTTTGTGATTGCGCTTCCCTTTTTTTTTGGTAATTAGCTGATGAAATGTATGCCGCCTGAAAATTCACCTCTCATAGTTTATTATAAAAAATCAATGTGTTAATTGATATTCGTGTAGTCGTTACTATTCTACTTTAATCATTCACTAGTAAAATTATCCGGAAATTTAATATTACAGAATTTATAAAATAATATTTAAAATTTATCGGTTATTATAACTAAAACACTATATTATCTTATATATAAAATTATGTAGTAACAAACATTAATAATGTAATGAAAAATTACATCTTATTATTTATCCTTAATAACATAAGCATAAATTAATGACGGTAAAAACACATATCAGCATCTGTAACATAAATAATGGTGTGAGTGAGCCACTGAGCAAAGTACACAAATATTTACTTGTGAAGAAGAAGAGGTTCAAAATTTTCATTGTTCTAAAATGAGAAGGAAATCTCTCTATTTATAGACAACAAAAAGTAGTGTAAACAAATATATTTTGTGCTTTATCAGAATTATTTATTTAGAAAAATTGCATTTGGAAAGGACATAATCTTTCATAAAAATCATAATTTTTTTTATAAAATTTGCAACTCTTCATTAAAGTCACAACTTTTTTTAAAGTTGCAATTCATAATTAAAATCGCAACTTTTCATAAAAACCACAACATTTCATAAATGTCACAATCTTTTATGAAAGGAGAAGACTAGTTTTGGAAATAAATAAATAAAAGGGAATTTTGATTTGTGGTGGCGCCACATAAGCAGACCTAAGGTTCGCTTTTATATAAATATATGATATGACTTCCAACTTTGACATAAGTAAACACTTAAACTTTGAATTAAAATTACGAGGTTAAGCAAACTTATCATAAATTACTCATCATAGTTATAGTTTGCTATAATTACTCACTTCGAAGTTGTATAAGTAGTTACGATTGTATATTTTGTATAATATACAATTATCTTACCAATATACATATACAATTCACCTTTCTCCCACTCTGTGCCCTCTCTAGCTCGCCTCTCTCCTCCCTATAACATGTATACGAATTGTAATTATCAAACTATAACTATAAAGAGTAATTAGACTATTTTTGAATGATTATATGTGAAAGTTCTTCAATAAATAGACGCATCCGTCCTATGTATCTTGAAGTACTATTTTGGAGAAATGATTCTCAAAGCTTAAATTTTCAGTATAAAAGTATGATCAAGATACAGTACTATGAACTGAAATCGCAAAACATTTAGAATGACCATTAGAGAATGAACACACGGACAAGTGCAATACAAGCCTCGTCTATCGTCTCAAATCAGTTTCAAACATAAAGTAATGACCCTCGTCTATCGTCTCAAATCAGTTTCAAACATAAAGTAATGGATGGTTATGTCGCGATAAATACAAACAATAGGGGTCCAAGGTTATCAATAAGAAAATGAAACGGAAGCTTGCGGAGAGGATTTTGGAAAGGTCAGGAGCTGTTGTTCTATTTCGACATAATCTGTAAACACGTCACCCTCTTTGCGTCTGGCAGCAATGATGAACTTTTCTAGCACTGTTGCATGCTTGAGCAAGTATTTCACCAATGGCATCACAGATCTAGAAAAGTTAAGGATCTTGATGGTCTTCAGATAAGGAAATGAATAATGTGTCTCAAACCTCCTCGTCTGTTCATCCTTATTTGTGTACTTTAACAGCACGTCCTGTAGGAAAGAATCCGCTATATTACTCATCCTTAGATAGAAGAAGGGAACTCAAGGAACATCGAACTCAGTACTTAGCAAATGTTACAATGTCGTACATGCAAACATATAAAGATGTTCAAAGCATCTCATCATTTGTTAAACGTCTGTTTCCAACAACTACGAAAAGTTTACTCAAGTGGAACTGTTTTATGAAGGAAACTAAATACTTTGATATTTGATAACATGAAGTAACAAAAATAAAGTCCAAAGGGAACTTACACTTGATTGGTATTTGTACCCGTCAATGACCAAAGTCTCAAGATCCGATGAATTCTGCAGAAAACTGCTAATTCCAGGGAAAGTCAATTGGTCCAACTCTGAGCTAAGTTGTAAGAATTTCCAGGTTGATGGTGGAGGCTGCCACCCTTCCAATTCCAGTATGGACAGATACTTATAAACCAAATAGAAAAACCAGAACATGTCAAAACAAGGAAATGTTGCATACTTAAATTGTTAAACAATGTTCAAAGATTGGTTTGGAGATCCAAAAACGGACTTATAAAAACCATTCACATAATCAATAAAATTTTACAAACCATTTATTCCTTCAAACAGGTAGACTCCTTACTCGGCAATGGTTCTTCGTCTTCAATATAACAATCAAAATCAAAATTAAGGACTGCAGTGACAAGAGAAGCTACATTTCTCAAGTATATTTCACGGCACGACCCCAGAATTTTCAAATTTTGAATATATGAGGCTAATATTTCAAGCGATAGATCACATTCAGTAATTTCTGAGTTGTCTAAGATCAATTTTCTCGACCAAGAAATGAATTTTTCTTTTAATAAAACCGTAACACTTTTTCGATTCGATTCATTGGTCGATTCGAATTTTGCACAACCCTAATTGCAAAAGCTCAATTAGGGTAAAAGGCAATTAGGTGGGTCGTCGGGTTATCAAATTTGGGTGGATCAAATTTAAGTCAGGCAACCTGGATTATGTAAAGGACTAGTTTCAAATATATATAGTAAAGTAATTAGTTTACGACAAACATAATCATATTTAATGAACATAAAAATGGTCAAAAGTCTTAGTAAGTTCATACCAGTGTTGTGGACGGCGAGAGGCGACAAAAGGCGACAAGGGCCTGTCTCGCCACGTGGCGAGGCGCTTGGCTTTTTGAATAAAGGCACCAATTAATACCAAAAATTTAAAATATTTAATTGCATATTTTATCCAAAATCTTAATAGCAATAACACATATTAGCAAATATTCAGCGATGGAGAAGCCGACAACGATGGAGAAGCCGAGAAGAGAACTGGAGAAGAGAGCGAGGGAGAAGAGACAGCGATGGAGAAGCCGAGAAGAGAGTCAATCGAGAGAGAGAGTAGCAATGGAGAAAGCAGAAATTTCAAAAGTATAAAAAAAAAACCCTAATTTTGACTAATATTGTTAAGTTAAATATTTTTAATTAAAAAGGCGGCGCCTTTTCTGTCGCCATTGTGTCGCCACACCTTGCCATACCTCGCCATTTTGATCTCGCCTCGCCTCACTAGAAAATGGCGAGGACCCATCGCCTCGCCTCGCCTCTCGCCAAAGGCGAGGGGCGCTCGCCTTTTGTAACACTGGTTCATACTGACTATCTATTTTAAGTCTATACCAGTGTTGTGGACGGCGAGAGGCGACAAAAGGCGACAAGGGTCTGCCTTGCCACGCGGCGAGGCGCTTGCCTTTTTGAATAAATGCACCAATTAATACCAAAAATTTAAAATATTTAATTGCATATTTTATCCAAAATCTTAATAGCAATAACACATATTAGCAAATATTCAGCGATGGAGAAGCCGACAACGATGGAGAAGCCGAGAAGAGAACTGGAGAAGAGAGCGAGGGAGAAGAGACAGCGTTGGAGAAGCCGAGAAGAGAGTCAATCGAGAGAGAGAGTAGCGATGGAGAAAGCAGAAATTTCAAAAGTATAAAAAAAATCCTAATTTTGACTAATATTGTTAAGTTAAATATTTTTAATTAAAAAAGGCGGCGCCTTTTCTGTCGCCACACCTCGCCATTTTGATCTCGCCTCACCTCACTAGAGAATGGCGAGGACCCATCGCCTCGCCTTTCGCCAAAGGCGAGGGGGCGCTCGCCTTTTGTAACACTGGTCTATACCTTGTCACAAGCAATATAAACATACATTGAGTCGCAGAGTATACATTATCACATATCTATACACTATAGTTAATGCAAGGTTATTGTCAAAGTAATTATTTCTTTCCTTCTGTAATACCCCATCATACACGATAATGTTAGCTTCCTTCACAAAATAAGTTTTTACAAACATAGTTATAATATTATTCCTAATTAGTGATATTGTTAATCTTACTAAACTGATGAATTCAATAACAAATAATAAGTCGCAAAATGAAGAAACACAATCTGAATTGGATAGCCAAGAGTAAGAATAAACCTCGATGCACCAGGGACCGAGTTCAAGATTCTTGACATGGGCAACGTGGCGAAGAAGTTCCTGCAAATATCTACACACCTTCTCCGAGCTATCTTCAACGCCAGAAAAATCAACATTCAAAGAAAGGACTGCAGTGACAAGTGAAGACACATTTCTCAGCTGAAAGTGCATCTCATTGTAGCACGATCCCTTAAGTTCCAATTGTCGAATATATGGGGCATCAATTTCGATACAATAGAATTCATCAAGTCGTTCATACATGGTTACAATCAATTTCCTCAGCTTCACAGAGCTGATTTTCAGAAGACGAATACCAACAACTTTATCTAATTCCAAGCACTCCAAATTAGGGCTACCTGATAATATTTTCTCCAATGCGTCCTCTTTAATTTCAGCATCCCCAATTGACAGAGAAACCAAATTACTCCACTTCACATCACCAAAAGGTTTCAACTCGCAATTCTGTAACACCAAATTCCTCAAAACCGTATTCGTATACGCGAATTCAGGAAAATCATACACAATCTCTGGAAAGGCCTTAACACAAAATTTCAACGAGAACTCTTCAACCTTAGCAATATAAGTAGAAAAGTGCAACCAGAAATAAAGATCAGAATCCATAACATGCCCACTGTATGTAGAAGGACAAATACTAAATGATTTAATTTTGTCGCAAGACTCCCAATAAAAAAGCTCTCTATAAACAGAACGTACAAAACCGGAAACATCTTCATCGTCTGTTGATTCGAATTTGAGTGATGCTGGAACGGATTTCCAGTGAGATACCCATTGCGATGATAATACGCTGGTTTGAACAACTTGTTTACTTGGTAGCTTAGAGAGGATGTGAATTCGAATCGACTCCGGTAGATTACTCAGCCGGTCTCCTTCTCTGGCCGCCGCCATGATTTGCCGATGCAGCTTTGGTAATGTCTATTTGATCACCGCAAAATTGAAATTGAGTAATGGGCTGTTTACATTATAGTATATTATTTTAAAAATAACCTCTTCCACACTAAAATTTTACTATTTAATATAAGCATCCTGTCTTACCTAATATTTTATATGTCAATTTTATGTCTTATATGATATTTTTGGTGTATTATGTCACGTAAATTTTGTGTGTCGTTTGATGGTCAAATACATAAACAGATTCCTAAACTTGTTGTATGTTTTTCCCAGGTACCTCAACTATGTTATTTTCCTCAATTATGTCTGATATACCCCTCAACTTTCTCATTTGGAGCTGATATACCCCTCGTTATGAAAGTGGCTCATATATATCTTTACCGTTATACAAATGGTTCACATACACACCTGCCGTTACAAAATGAGCTCACATATACCCTTCATTTAACGGAAGTGAAAAAATTAGTTTTAAATTTATATTTTTTACTTTTATCTTTTTTAAAAATAAATTATTTAGGGGTATATATGATTCTTTTATCAAAGTTCAAGGTATATTTCAATTTTTTTCATACATAAATTATTTTTTTGACTTATTTTATTATAATTATTTGAGTTTCTTATTCTTATTCTTTTTTCTTTCATTCCTTAGTGTAAAGAATAAATATTTAAAACTTTTTTTTATGTCTATATTGTAATTTAATTTTTGTATTCGAAGAAAAAATTGGTCATCTACAATAAATTTTACGAGAATATTAGTGAAACTTTAATAAATTTGATCATCAAAAATAATAATTCTAAATTATTTATTAAAATAAAAAAAATAAAAAAAAATATGTTTGACGAGGATTAATTCTACTCATATGGGATTATATTTTTTAGAAAAAAATAATAAAAATTAGATTAAAAATATTATTATTTTCACTTTCCATTAGGAAAAGGGTATATGTGAGTCATTTGTTTATAAATATGGGTATATATGAGCCACTTTCATAACAAGGGGTATATCAGCTCCAAATGACAAAATTGAGGGGTATATCAGACTCTTTTCCCTTGAATCATTGAACTATCCATAATTTTTTTCAGTTTAAACAAACACTGTTGACTGATGTGGAACCAGATTTGTGAGGGATATTGATAGAGGATATATATGTTGTTCCAGAACTCATTAATTTAATTGATAGTGAAAATGTTTGAAAATAATTGTGTTTTACTTAAGTCATTTAAACACATTAGAAAACAAATGAGACTAACACGGTTTGTCTTCATTCCTTCAATCAAAATCATTACAATTCGAACATAATTAAAGGCATTTACAATAGAAAACCCGATCAAAATCAACCAACATCATGGGTGGTTCAATGATTCAATAGGAAAATGACGTAGTTCAGGTACCCCAACAAGTTTAGGTATCTATTTATGAGTTCGACCTTGTTTAATTTATACAAATTTAAGTGTTTATTCATGTACAAAGACATAATGGTTAGTCCAGAGTCATATATATTTATGTATTAAATAAGAATCAAAAAAACCTTCAAATATATTTCAATTGAATGAAGTTGATAGAGATAATTAGGTAGGCATGAAAAGCTATCTTTCTGCAAAATCACTTAGAGCAAGCTTTTTATTACATGAAAAAAATAAATACATTGTTCTTTTAGACATGAAACAACTACTTGGATACTGATTAATTAGTAGAATCCAAATCTTTCAATCAACTATAAATACGAAAGTAAAAGGTTGTTATGTATGTCGCGATCACTACAAAAGAGAGTGGTGTAAGATTTATCAGCAAGGAAACGCGCGTGGGGATGATCTTGAAAAGCTTAGCATCTCCTGATCAACATGATTCCGAGATACATTACTTCCCTCTGTTTCTCCTACTAGAAATGACAAACTCTTTTAGTGCTGTTGCATTCTTCTGCAACCATTTCACCAATGGTTGAACAACATTATTTTCCATTGGTTTTTCACAACAGTTAATGAACTTGATGGTCTTTAGATGTGGCAATGAGCAGTTAAAATAACGCGTCCATAGTTTCCTCCATCGTTCATCCTCATTTGTGCACTTTGACAGCAGTTTCTGCGCCAACATATTAACCAGGTAGAAATCAAAGGAGTTGAAATCAGAAATATATAGACTATAAAAAACTTACTCTTGGTTTGCGATTAAACCAGTCAATGATCAACGTCTCAAGATTTGATGAACTCGATAGAAAGTTGCAAATTCCAGGGTAGTCCAACTTTTCTAAGGCTGCGTTAAGTTTTAAGAATTTCCAGTTTGATGGTGGAATAGGCAACCCTTTCAACTCCAGTATAGACAGGCACTTACAAACCAAACAGATACGTCAAAACAATGAAATGCAACATACATAGTAAACGAATACTGATGAAATAAATAACAAAATCAGAGTAAGAGTAAGAATAAACCTCGATGCAACAGGGACTCAATTCAAGATTTTCGACATGGGCAACGTGGTGAAGAAGTTCCCGCAGATATTTGCATTCCTTCTCTGCATTTTTAGGAATATACACATTTATAGAAAGCACTGCAGTAACAAGCGAACCCACATCTCTCAGCTGAAAGTGTTTCTCCTTGCAGCATAATCCCCAAAGTTCTAAATGTCGAATATACGGGGCATGAATTTCAAGGCAATGACAGTCATCACTGTCATGTTTTAGAATCATTTTTCTCAGATTCACAGAGCTGATTTCCAGACGACGAATACTAACAACATTATCTAATTCCAAGCACTCCAAATTAGGAGAACCTAACAATACTTTTTCCATTACATCCTCTGTTATATCGATATCCCCAATCGAAAGAGAAATCAAATTACTCCAATTCACATTACCATAAGGTTTCACCTGGCAATATCCTAACGCCAATTTCCTCAAAACAGTATTCGTATACCCGAATTCAGGAAACTTATAGGCCAAATCTGGATAAGTAATAACATAAAACTTCAACCAAAACTCTTCAACCTTACCAATATTAGTAGCAAAGTACACCCAAAAATCAATATCACGATCAATATTAACGTAACTATGAATAAAAACACTAAATGATTTAATTTTCTCGCAAAATCTCCAATAATGAAGCTCTCTGTTAACAGAAGCTACGTAAGCGAGAATATGCTTCTCTCTGTAAGCTTTAGGACCATCTGAAAAATCAAACTCAATTGATACTGGAACTGATTTCCAAAGAAATCGCCATTGCGATGATAATACACTGGTTTGAACTACTTGTTTACTATTTGGTAACAATGAGAGGATGTAGAGGAGAATCGACTCCGGCAGATTACTCAGCCTGTCTCCTCCTTCGGCCGCCATCATGACTTTCTTCTGTCTTTCCATGAAATGAATAAAATACTTGGCTTCAACGAACATCTATTACGTCTCAATATATATTACTCAAAACAATTACAAATTCAATGCTCTTAATTTTTAAGTTCTTTGAATTTAAAAATCAGTTGATATTATATGTAACTCTTCATCTTCATATGTTTATCAAGTTCTTTGTATTTAAAACAATGAATGTTATGCATTATGATTCATGATATTCAAATTTATTACTGTAACATTTTTTGTGGCATGTGGAAAGATTTATTCTAAGTTGGTTCTTTGAACCGTCTCAATTCGTCGATTTTTTGACTGGCTAAAATTATAGAAGATCATTTGATACGAGGGATAAGGATAATACTCACGATCTTATCTCATCTCACGTACCAAACGACTCATCTTAAGAAAACATTTCTGAGGCTATAAATAGAAAAAATTTATGCAAAGGAATTAATCACTAAGCTTCTATTGTTACTAAAAGCCACTTACAAGTTACAACAAAGGATGATACAAGTATTGGATACCCTAAAACTTACAATGCCAATAAGAAACTCACACTATTAATGTACACTGAAACAGCTAGAAAATTTGAAACTTATTTGACATCATTTTTGATATGTGTAAAAGCTAATTCATTCCTTGTTGGATAAATTGTGAAGAGCTAACATCAGTTGTACTGTAAAATGAGTCCTCTGCTCCACCATAATAGGTATCTTCCTTCTCCTCGTTCCACTTCACGACTTCTCTTATATACTTAAACGCCTCATCAACTGTAACTCGGTCTCTTGCCCGAGCTTGCCATACAAATAGTTTTTTACCAGTGATAGAAGTATAAAGGTCTTTAAACTTCATTGCGATATAATAGTATGCTTGGTTTGCCAGTGATAGGTTATTATGGTGAGTCCATACTGGACTGAAATCACTGAACCACTCGCAAGAGTCCAATGGTACACCGATGATCTTCTCCTCGAATAGATCATACTTGTTCAAGATTAAAACGAATGGGGTTTCTTTGAAACAGGGATGTCTTACCATTGTTTCAAAGAGTTCTTTGATATGCATCATCTTGTTCTGAAGTAGTGTACCGCTACCACAGTCCTCCTGAGTAAGCCACATCTGATCATAGTCACTCAGGGCTGCACAAAATACTACAACACGAACATCTTCAAACATCTCTACCCATTTGCATCCTTCATTCATTCCGTTGGCATTTATTCTAATTAGTTGGTACCTATCAGGAAATACGATGAGTCTATGTCGAATAACCATCAAGCTAGAGTACATCAAGAGAATTTTCAACATCTAAAACTAAAAAGATAATTATCACTTAATGGTTAACGCCATAAAATGTAATTGACCTACTAGGAGGAGAATGGTTACCTAGTCAGAGGTGGTGCTGGAGCATCCAGATTGTCTCCATAGGTTTCAGACATTGGACTACGATCATCCAAGGAGAACTCCATAAAAGCCAACCCATTGCCTTGGGTAACTCCTTCAGCATACAGTATATCTCGCTCTGAAGGTTCATACTCATTGCTTGATACCTCAACAGCCTACAAGACGGGAAAAAACAAATTTAGCATCCTTTATCCAACTTCTGTAGTGGTTGGCATTAATCAAATTAAGAATCTATTTAAAAGTAGGTATACTCCAGAAAAGTAAAATGTGTCTTACATCCACCTGTATTAACTTGTCAGCAGGAAAGGATTTAGATTCTATATTACTCAATCAAAAGAAATAACAGTGTATAGCTGAACCATGAGAACACTACAGATCTTTAGGGAGAATGTTACCAGGAGAGCAGAGCCAAATGCATATAGATGACATAAGGTCAACAGCTCAGAGCAACTAGATAACCAAAACAACTCATTACCCATATACAATTAAGATAGAGCAAAAATGAGTTATGTACCTACATTTCTCGAGAGACTTCTGACAATTTAATTCAATAAGACTACTCCTCAACAACAGCATACCCAGTGCCCACAAATAGGGTCTGGGAAAGGTCGAGTGTAGCAGACCTCACCCTTACCTCGGAGAGGTAGAGAGGCTGTTTCGAAAGAGCCCCGGCTCAAGTGCAGCAAATCCAAGTATTTACGAAAAGAGGGAACAGAACATTGGGGAAAACAAATAAGACTACTCTTATGCTCCAAAAGTACCTTGCTCAAGAAGTAATCTGCTACATCTGGAAGGAAATGAAGCTCTTTTCTTCTCTTGTATGTTTCCTGTATAGCAGGATCCTTCCATACCTCTTCAACCAGAGGAGCATATTCACGTGTTGCTGCAGGGAAAAATGCATCTAAATCTCCCGTGGCAATAATGTCCAGTAGCCAATCAGAGAAATGCTTCAACCTCGGGTTCAAGGAATAGATGCACTGGTTAGTATCGGCAGATCCCACGTCTCCACCTATAAAGTTGAACTTAGTTACTAAATGCAGCCAGCAGTTTCCTTCACCACGACGTTGTGAATCATCAATGAGATTTAAAACAATGTAGTCGATACAATTCCAAATAGTGAAGGTTATTAATGTACCAACGAGGATATCTGTGACCTTAATCAAGTTGCAATATCTTTCTAGCAAGTGACATGCAGCATATACACTCCATATAATAAGACTGTAGGAGACTTCAAGTCTTTGAAATCGGTCAACGATGAAACAAGTAAATGACTGAAAATTAACAATGAAATAACTCCCTTGAAGATTCCTCTCTGTAACTTCATTTTACCACTCTAGATTGGAATTTTACCCTTTACTAACATCAAGAATTGAAAAGACAAAAATATTTGTTTATTTCTTCTTCCTCCGCAATTTGTTAAGTAGGACAGAGATTCCACTTCAGAAAAAACTATCACTAGTGGAATAAAGCCCTCGGCACAGAGGCAAAGAGGGCCAAAGCTCCAAGTCCAACGATATGACCACTAATCTACCCGACTGGCACAAGTACTTTTGTAAACAGAGGACTTTTTATCACTAATTTTAGAGATGTATTTAAAAAAACCTTCATCCTCTATTCTCGACAAAGCCTCCTCTTCAAAGCGTTCCCTTCCATCAAGAAGAATGCTCAGATATTTGTACATGTTGCTTTGAATCATCAGCTTTATATCTTGAACTTCTTCATTAGTGAACTTGTTCCCATACAACAATTTTGCCTGCTCAAAAAGTTGTTGAAAATGCGTATAATAACCGAAAGCAAGGAAGTACAAGAAATCATTTAATGACTAAGAAAAGTCAATTTCCTTTGTTGATAACTGAGAAATCTCCTAGAACAAGTCGCGCAATTCGAAAACTGTGTATAATGCATTTGTCCCTGTACCCTTCTCCACTTGAGGGAAGTCCATATTAACCATTGCATTTCATTTCACCCGCTAAAAAGTAATATGCAACAAGGCAGAGCAAGAAACATGACAGAGTCAAGAAAGAGAAGAGAACTGAAATCCATACAAACAAGCACATAGCCAAATACCAGGAACTCATTTCGCCTCAAGCTTTCTTCTTTGTTCTATCCCAAAACTTTTTTTCAAGTGTGTTCAATTTATCATAACATTCTAATTCGTAATATACCATAAGATTCCTGGATTTCAATTCAATTCGGGTTGCCTGTGGAGGCACTTCCTTCAAGCTTCCCAACGGTAAGTTCCCAGAGAACTGTTGTCTCTATTATAGACAAAAGGAACATAGAATTGAGAAAGAACTGAGGAAGTTGTCAAACATGAATATACCAGCCCATACTGCTCATCACAATTTCAGATAAATCTTCTTTTATGGCCGATAAAATTTGATCAGTTGATGAAACAAGGGGAATAAAATTTTCTAGTACACAACAACCCCTAACTAGTTTGTTTAAGAGAGAGAGGAGTTTTAAACTCAATCAGTAAAAATATACAGAATAGAGTTTAAACCACACTGCATATTTCCCCCTTTTAGACTACCGGAAGTGGACCATCTAAACCTTTGTGCTGAATCGTCTCCTACAAAAAGGCAAGCAAAAGGTTCTGTTTTGGAAGATATCCCAGCCAGTATCGCACACTAAATGAGTGATTTCACTCTTTCATCCAACCCTCAGCTTCTTACCTTTAATGATACTCCTTCAGTCCCATTTTATATAACGATATTTGAGGGGACATGAAGTTGAAGGTATTAATTTGACATATATATTATATAGTTGTATTGGATTAAACATTTAAATAATGGCTGAAAAGCTAGTTCGATCGAGAACATTGCTTCAATGTCTAAAGTATGAATCATTAAATGAATTGAATTCTTAAAAGTTGTATAGAATATTATTATAGTAATAGTCAATATATTGGGCCATTCAAAGATGGAAAAAGTCATATTAGTAGGGTTGCAGGGAGAAAAAAAGCTCTATAATATTTCATCTATGCATGGCTTATAACAAAGTTTATCAGAAAATTCCATATATAGAAGCTGGACTTCAGATTAGAAAAAGAACCCTAAATGAAGAAAAAGACGTCTTCTCTGTAAAGCGGTATGCTATTAATAACTTAGACAAATCCAATACGGCAATACCTGCTTGAAAATAGTGCTTGTTCCGGAACTTTCAAGTCCAAGTAAAAGTAGCTTCTGAACCCTTTTTTGCTCTATATAATTTGTAACAGTAGTATAATTGCTAGGTTCATCCCTCTGTCCATGGGGCTGACCAGTAGGTATGGGGAGCGAGAACAGGGAGCAGATAAACCGTGTAAGTGCCTGTATAACAAACAAATATAGATATTTAAGAACCAACAAGTACTTACGGAGTAGGATAAACCTAAATCAACTTCTTTTGGCTACCTTTTCCCAAATGTTACCCCGAATATTATTTTGACCTTCTTCCTCATAGCGACCATCATCATATACCCAAAAATGAGTGTCACGGGGACATTGCACATTTGCAAGCTGAAATAAAAGATTAAGAATGATTCACTGAAGAAAAACTGTTTAGGACATGATAACAGTTCCATTTTGATAAGATCCATTTTCCCAGAGCCT